ACTTTGCCTTCCTGTCTTAATTCAGGATTTGGTTGTGTTTCCTTGGGAATAGTTCCTTCCTCCCTCCAGAAGCTTATATGAAATCCCAGCTTATGAAGGTAAAGCTTCTTAAAATCCCCAAGACAAGCAGGTGTGTTGATTTTTCCCCATCTGTTTTCATGTTGACATGGTATCTCTATATTGTAGGGAGATGGAGAATCTTGAGAAAAGTCTCATAGCATGGTAGAGACTATAAGTTAGCTACCTCAATATACATTATACCCTTTTTACTCAGTAATAAAGCTCCCAATTTATAGCTGGACACAAGGCTGTTAAGAATCAAGAGTAAATTCCCACGCCTCTCTTGCAATTAGGTTTGGCCATTATGACTAGGTTCTAGTCAATGAAGTGTAAGTGGAAGTGTTATGTGCAATCTCAAGAAGTTTCCTTAAAGAGGAGGAGTGTGTCCTTCCTCACACTTCTTCCTTCCTGTTGACTGGAATGCAAAAAGACTGTTGGAGATTGAGCAGCCATCTTGGATCCGTGTCTTGAGTATGATGGAGCAATAGCACAGAAGGAGACTGCTGATCATGGAGCCACCGTTCAGCCCCGGATAGTTTACCTCCAGGCTTTATGAGAGAAAGAAATAAAATTCTAACATGTTTAAGTCACTGTTATTTTAAATTTATATTTTTCATAGCTAAACCTAATCCTAACTAATACAGATCAAATTAAATCTACTCTCCACCCCTATCCTGGTGGTAGTACTTGCTCATATATCTGCCTTCGTTCCCTTTCCCCACCAACCACCATTAGTCCTTCTTATTGAACTTCCAATAGACTTCCCACCACAGTCCACTTATCCTGCCTCCAAGGCCTCAGAATGGTCATGCCCTGGAATTGGCTGATGCCTCAGGAAATACAAGGGGATTGTGAGTAGGATAGTAAGGTTCTCTAATTATTAAGGAAGATTTGTTATTGTCCTGTGACTGCTGTACAGTCTATTTGGAGAAGGCAGGGGTGAGGAGGTAGGGGGACTTGGTGACCCCTTGGCCTTTAAGGTTATATTTCTGTTATGATAATAGGTTGTGTGCACTGGTATTCTGAGGGCAAAATGTTGGCCATGTCTTATCCTTCGGTTTTATTGAGCGTTCTTGTTTATGATTCCTTGCCATCCAGCTTGTTGGCCTGCTTTCTGACTCCCCAGTCTTGCTGAGCTTTTTGATCTCTTATTTCTTCTTTTTTCTGGTTTCTTCTACAACAGAGGTCCTCAACCTGGGATCCGTGTACCATTTAGGTGTTGGCTTGAGGTGGGGGGAGCCTGTGAAACCTTCTTACGTTGTGTATGGACTTTTGTGGATATGTGCATGGGTGCATTTCTTTCTTTTTATAGGTGGAAGGCCTACATTTCATTAAATTCTCAAAGAGATTTCTAACTATGAAAGGCTAAAGGTTTTCCATATGTCAAACCTTGATTGAGTCAAATACTTAGAGAGCTGCAAATATGGGCCATATTATTTGGCATCATATAGCCTGCTTTCATCAAATTGCTTTTTTAAAATTTCTTATTATTTTTTTTTGTGAAATATAATAGACATATAACATTATGTTAGTTTTAGGTGTACAACAAAATGATTTGATATTTGTATATACAGTCACATACCGCATAATGACATTTTGGTCAAGGACAGACAGCATATACGATTGTGGTCCCATAAGATTAGTACCATATAGCCTATGTGTGTAGTAGGCTATACCATCTAGGTTTGTGTAAGTACACTCTATGATGTTCACACAGTGATGAAATCGCCTAACAACACATTTCTCAGAACGTGTTTCCATCATTAAGTGACACATTACTGTATTGTGAAATGATCAGCATATATCTTGATATTCATCTACTTTACATCCATCACCACTCGTAGTTACAATCAAGTCTACTTAACGTTGATCACCACACATAGTTAAAATTTTCTTGTGATGAGAACTTTTAAGATCCACTCTCTTAGCAACTTTCAAATACAATACACTATTATTAACTATAGTCACCATGTTGTACATTAAATCCCCAGGACTTATTTATTTTATAACTGGAACTTTGTATCTTTTGACTACCTTCACCCATAATGTCCACCCCCTACTCCCATCTCTGGTAACCACCAGTCTGTTCTCTATATCTATGTTTGTTGGTTTTGTTTGTTCTTTTTTAGATTCCACATATAAGTGAGATGGTATTTCTCTTTCTCTGTCTGACTGATTTCACTTAGTATAATACTCTCAAGTATTATGTGGTCTTGAATGGCGAGATTTCCTTCTTTTTAATGTCTGAATAATATTCAATTTTATATATATTCAACATCTTTTTAATCTAGTCATCCATTGATGGGCACTTAGGTTGCTATTGTAAATAGCAACACTTGGACACTTGGCTATTGTAAATAATGCTGCAATGAACATGGGGGTGCATATATCTTTCCGAGTTAGTGTTTTCATTTCTTTTGGATAAATACCCAGAAGTGGAATTGCTGGATTATATGGTAGTCCTATTTTTAATTTTTTTAGGAAACTGCATACTGTTTTCCATAGTGGCTAGACCAATTTACATTTCCACCAACAGCTCACAAGGGTACCCTTTTCTCCACATCATTGCCAACACTTGTTACCTCTTGTTTTTTTGATAATAGTCATTCTAACAAGTCTGTGGTGCTATCTCTTTGTGGTCTTGATTTGCATTTCACTGATGATAAATGATGTTGAGTACCTTTTCATGGACCTCTTGACCATCTGTATATCTTCTTTGGGAAAAATGTCTATTCTGATCCTCTGTCCATTTTTTAATCAGATTTTTTTTTTTTTTTAGTTATATGAGTTCTTTATATATTTCGGATATTCACCCCTTATCAGATGTATGATTTACAAATATTTTCTCCTATTCAGTAGGTTGCCTTTTCATTTTTTTGATGGTTTCATTTGCTGTGCAGAAGCTTTTTAGATTGATGTGGTATCATTTGTGTACTTTTGTTGCCTTTGCTTTTGGTGTCAAATCCAGAAAGTCGTCATCAAGACCGATATCTAGGAGCTTTCTGCCTATGTTGCCTTGGAGTTTTACGGTTTCAGGTCTTACATTCAAAAGTCTTTAATCGGGCCGGCTCCGTGGCTTAGCGGTTGAGTGCGTGCGCTCTGATGCTGGCGGCCCGGGTTCGGATCCCGGGTGCGCCCCGAGGCACCACTTCTCCGTCCAACGCGAGGCCGAGTCCCACGTACAGCAACTAGAAGGATGTGAACCTACGACATACAACTATCTACTGGGGCTTTGGGGGGAAAAACATGAATAAATAAAATCTTTAAAAAAAAAAAAAAAAAAACAAAAGTCTTTAATCCATTTTGAGTTAATTTTTGTGAGTGATGTAACATAGGGGTCCATTTCATTCTTTTGCGTGCAGCTATCCAGTTTTCCCACCACCATTTATTAAAGAAACTGTCCTTTCCCCATTGTATATTCTTGATTCCTTTGTTGTAAATTAATTGATCATATGAGCGTGGGTTTATTTCTGGGCTTTCTATTTTGTTCCATTGATCTATGTGTCTGTTTTTATGCTAATATCATACTGTTTTGATTGCTATAGCTTTCTAATATAGTTTTCAATCAGGAAGCATGATGCCTCCAGCTTCGTTCTACTTTCTCAAGATTGCTTTGGCCTGGTGACTTCTATAACTATTAAGTTTCTCTTATTTTTACTGCAAGAAACTCAACCAAAATCCGTGGCCCATCTCTAGCTTACCTATGATTTTATCTTATTTTTCCCAACCCAATTTTATAATCTGCTCATTTTTAACCTCTTGTGTGTATACTGAATAAGCTGCCTTAAATTCTTTTTTAGAAGGATATATGATAAAAATATATAATCATAGCTTATTTGAAGGATTCATCATTAATTTCCTGTGTCAGACAGACTCTAGTGTTGTGCTAAGGCTTGCATTAACCATGTATGTCCAACATTAAACACAACTTCCCCATTCACCCTCAGAAATGTCTAAAGCAATTGTGATCCAAGATATCAATCTGTAAGTACTGTGGTCTACCTAATGAGTGGAGGATTCTGAAATTTAGATTGAAGGAAATGGTAGAAAAGGATCAGAGAGAGAGCCTAGGAAAATGACATCAATTTTGAAGGAGGAAGTGACAAGTCTTCTGAAACAAAAGATGAGAAAGGATGGAGGTCAAGACAGATATTCTAATGTGGATAGAAGGTGAGATGAAGGAATATACAAGTGATGGCTCAAAATTTTAATGAAAGAGAGAAGTAAGGGGAAGATTTAAAGTAATCTGCATGAAAAAGGGAGCGGCAGGGGTTAGTTCTGATATGAACAGCCCCATTGGGATGAGAGGAGTCAATAAAAGAGTAACAAAAAAAAAAGTGAGGAAAAGGTCATTTCAACAATTCATCAAATTTCTATGAGCATTACCATGTTAAGATACACTGTAGGCCCACGGTCAGAGAAGATACAATCCCTTTCCTTGTGGTTGTCACACTTAATGGGAAAGCCACCACCAGAGCCCAGTTGAAAACAGATGAAAGTGAAATATTAGCATAATCACATGACAATCTTCAACAAAGCTCGTTGGACTCAGGAGGAGAGGAAGTTGAGTTGGGGGCTGTGAAGATTCAGGTTTATTAATGGCCTCATGGAGGTATTCAAGGCAATACTGGTCTTGGTGAACCTGATGCCCAGCCTAGGAAAGAGATATGTAGAGTAAGGGAAAGCACTGCTCCTGTGTAGAGGGAGTGGAATAGGTGTCCAGAAAGGTGCCACCTTAGGGGGGGCATCAAATTAGAGATCTTTTAAGTGAGAAGAGACGCCCAGTTAAGCCCTGATGGTGGGTCACTGAGACAGTGCGGAGGGACATGGATGAGCAAGAAGTGTTGGGAAGATGTAATAAGGGCTTACATATGTCATAATATGATCTAAACAAATAGGAAGTACTATACAGGGATTATGGGGAGTTGGCTCCCCACAAATCTGAGAAAGACCAAAGCATGTAAGGTCCTGCTCACCCATGAAAGTCTCTAAGTACAGGAATTCTGATTCTAAAATCATCTCCATTTATATTGCTTTATGTTTTTGAGACACTAAGTTGTTTCTGAGCTGCCTTACCATGAAGATTCATCATCTTTTCTTAGCTCTTCTTTTCTTTGGCCTGTTATCTGTGTCAGGTAAGACTTTAGCAAAAATAAGGGAAGAGTTGACACAAACGAGAAGGCTATGTGAAATGACACAGCAACCATCTGTTGGCAATGGTAGTGCTTTGTGGTGCTCAACGAATGTTTTGAATGAATGAATCATTGTTTCTTTACAAATGACTCCTTGAGAATAGAATAGAATTTGGGGAATTCCAGATTCTCTTTCGATTTCATACCAAATTTTTCATCTCAGCTATGAGGTAGAATCTTAGATTATTTCCAAGAAGGGGAATTTAAGGATTATCTCCTCAGCCCCTCATTTTACAAAGAATGATTTTGAGACCTTGAATCCAGGTCCTCTGACTCCCAGTATATCAAGCAAATTTTATTTCTACTCTCATGGTTCTCTGCCTATTATAAGGAAAGTACAAATAGTATTTATTTCATAGAGTTTCATTGTGAGCCTTAAATGTGTTAATCCATGTAAAGGGCTTTTAATAGTAAAATAGTTGACAAATAGTAAGTGCTCAAGAAATGTTAACTATTGTTATCATTATTACAATTTTCACCTCTTCTTTAGTTTATCCCCTTTAGTAATTTTTCCTTTCAGTTCAAGAATATCCTCAATCAGGATGAGCCCAAAAGAACTGAAGCCACTGGAGTTTTACATTAGAACTCCAGGTACCCGTGACGTGATAAGGGCCTGACAGGGTTAAGTGTGGAAAGGAAGGGATGGAGGAGAGGGATTAAATCGAGAAGATGAAAACATTGATGGTGCGAGGGTGAGAAGGGGGAAGAAGAGCCAATGATGGCACATGGGGTTAGGCTGAGTGATTTGGAAAGTTCTGGTGTCATTAATAGAAATGTGAATGCAGAGAAAGGGAGCTGGTTTGCGGATGAAGCCAGTTTAAATGATTTTAGAAATGGTTACTTTGAAGTGACAGTGAGACATCCAAGTGGAAATAATCTAGTAGACAGACAAGCGGAGATATGAAACTAGGAGAGAGCTTGTGGCTGAAGATAAACATTACGGCACCTTCCAAACAAGTATGAAAGTTGAGGTTATATGAATAAATTACCACTTCAAGGTAATTCTCCCTCTCTCCTTTCTATCAGGCATGTTATGTTCTGGGCATGGTGATGATAAGCGCTGTGTACTAGTGGAGGACAAAGGCCACACAGAAAACTACCACTCTCTTTTCCTTTCTCCTCCTCCTTATTATTCTCCCCTCCACCTTGTTCTCTCTCTATATATTTTTCTTGTTCCTGAACATATAAGGAAGCTTACAAATTGCATCCAATGAGTTTTTTTTTTAAGCGAAGTAATTAGTAGGAAGATTCAGGCAGAGGAAAATCAGCTTAGAAAAAAGTAATTTGGAACACTGATGATATTGTGTTCCAAAATGATCCCTGGGTGAGGTTGCCAAAAGTGGAGGGTAGAGGAAATCCTTGATGTGGATTTCGATTAGGAATGGAGTAGCCTAAGCTACCTCCTGAGAAACCTGCACCTCAGCTTTATGTATCTGTTGCCCTCACTTGCATGGAATGGCAGGACATCCAGCATGGTATGATCTTCCAGAAAGTTCAGGGCCTTTTTTATAGGATCATTCAATAATGCTGGACTTATTCAGTCAACAGGGAGGTCAATCTGTCTTCCACACAACGTCAGGAGCACCTGCAGTCTCTGTCAGCCCCTTCTAAAATCTATTTTTAAATCTGATTGAAAACTATTTTGTTCCCATGGGCCATTATCACCTTTAATTCCATGTCTTTATATTTGCAGTCTCTACTAGAACTTTGTAAATATATATGCAAATAAATGTGGTCCCCTGGTTTTGCTTATTTGTTTACTTCTCTATCTGCTTATTTTTAGGAACTGAAGATACTCATGGGGTCACTAGCTTCCTGGACTGTAAAAATCAAACACTGTGTAATTCTCGAAATGAAAATGGAAGCTGTTCTCATGCTAGCACAGAGGTTGGAATATGTGTCTTGCGTCTTAGACGTGCAAAGCTAACCATAAAGTAGAAAATTAGGAAGACAGGATGCTCAACTCTCTGTCTTATTAAAATATAAAGTCTGTTTTCTTTTCTCTCTCTTTTTTTCTAGAGTGACACACATTTATTTATTGACAGTTTTGACAAAAGTTTATTAAGGAATTACAATGAGATCCAACATTTCTTCTTGAGTTCCAACAGATCAGAGAATACAGATTAAGAAAACAAAAGGAGACCTGTTCTGTTTGGGTGGAAAGCTTGGGGGAGTGTGAAGCGCCAGAGGAAAGGATCTGACGGGGCATCTAGAGTGTGTCTGTGAGATACAGAAAGGGCACGTGGCAATAGAGGTAACTAAATTTTACTGTAGAATATGAATGGAGTCTTCCCTCCCTGTTTTGCAGATTTTTGTAAAATCTTAATTTGCTTTTCAATGATTACTTTTGGCTCAAAATCTTTGATGGTAACATGTTAGTGTTTGTATCATAACCTGTGATTCCTTTCCCTGACTTTAGAAGCCAAATGCGCTACCCAGACCTGGAACCATGCGCTACCCAGACCTGGTAAAGTAGGAAAGTGGTTCTTGGAGCCTGGGACTCTTTCCATTGCCCACCATGCCTGTGATGCCCAGACTATCTGCAGTGACTATAATTCCCACTTGGCATGCCAGACAGGGCTATGCTCCCCAAATACCTTATTCATCAAGGTTCACTGATTCCACCACATCAGCTTCCCTCAGGTTCCTCTGAGAGAGGAACCACTCTCTCAGATTTTTTGGAAAAAACATGATTGAACAATTCTACTTTGGGTGGAAACACTGCTTACGCATGCAGAAATATCTGCATTTTAAATAGGAAGCTTAGTGCTAGTAGGTGAATTTTAGACTATATAACTAAAGTGAAGAATTTCAGGCAAATATGGGTCTATCAGCCAGGGTTCTGGCTGGAAACAGATGAGACAGGCAAAGAGGTTCCCAAATGTATGGGTGGGGCTACTGTCCAGGAATGGGGCAGCAACCAGAGAGAGCAATGAAGGGAAGGAATCTTTAACTAACAGGTTTCCCCTGAAGGCCCATAGGGAGGGAGCAAAGGGGAGTTCCCCCAAACACTAGAAGGGAAATACAAAGGAATAGCAAGGGAAAAAATTGGCAAGGGAACAATGGTTTGACTTTAATTATTAATAGAAGGGGGGAGGGGCGGCAGTAAGGCTTATAAATGGAAATACTGGTATGGAACGTGCTTAGAAAAAAGAGTATTTGCTTGCCTGCTTGTTTCAAAATTCAGTGTGGCAGCTGCAGACCCTGCTTTGGAATCGATGTGGCCTCCTAGAGGGGCGCTGCCCCTTCTCCTGTGCCCTGCCCCTCCCCAGGTGAGCTGGGTCCCTTTGTGATGCTAATGAAAGTGTCCATGACGGGGAAGTGACGATGACTCCCTCCCACCCCCACCCTCAGTCTTCTCTACCTGCCACCAGCCCTCGGGCCCAGCCCAAGGGGGTCAGATGTCCCTGCCCAGCAGGTCGCCGGGCTCCGGCTAGGAGCAATGGGCGAGGCAGTCTCCGCGCACCCAGCTGCAGGATGCGACCTGGCGGGTGCCGCGCCCGTCCCTGCTCAGTGAACGTGCGCAGGCTCCTGGACGAAGGTAACCGGCGTGGGGACCCGCCCCGGCGGCGGTGGGAAGGCCCCGCCTCCAGGTGGTGTGAGAGACGCAGGCTCGGCCAGGCTGGCTATTCCAGTTCTCACACAGCCCTCCGTGCCTTGTGCATCATGGAAATTATAGCCCTAGCGCCTTCTCCCAACGTCCTGTGTGCTTTAGAAAATATGCATTAAAAACATGTAAAATGTACCGTTTATGCTTCTCACTGCTATAAATGCATCATTTTCTGTTTCCGTACTCTCCCCGCCCCTAACCAATTTCCAGGAATATTTAGTTGCGCTGGTTTTCCAGTTGGTCTCCCAGCCTTAGGCTTGCTCTCAAATTCATTCTTCACAGACCTACCAGAGAGGTTGTGTGTATGAGAGAGAGAGAGAGAGAAACGATTCTGTGGCTTATCTATTTCTTTGGGGAGAGAGAGCTGAACTTTATATGCACAGCATCGCATGTTTTCTGCGTGTGTATACTCAGAGAGGAACTGAGTGTACATATCGTGTGTGTCACTTATAGTCTCTGGGAAGAGAGTGCTGGAGATTTCCATGAGGCACCCTTTTGCTTTGGGAAGCCAAGACACACCAACATCACAGCCCCTGAATCAGCTGGGCTGATAAATTAGAAAGGATGGACCACTATTCCTACCATGGCTGTGTTGTAAACTGGAAGGAATTGCAAGGGGTACACCCCTCACCTTCCTGCCTCCCTCAAAACAGCAAACAAAAAACAGCAACACCAACAAGCAATGGCAAAAACAACCAGGCAAAATGATGATAATTAACACTTAGAGTACTAACTCAATTATCCACAGAAGGTAGGTAGTATTTCTCACTTGTGTACATATGAGGAAACTGAGCCACCTGAGGGTAAAGGAATTTCCTGGGATCATGCAGGTTGTAAAGGGTGATGCCTGTGTAGGGGAGGAAGAGCTATTCCCCTACCCTCTAGGTTCTTCTAGCTGGACTAAGAATTAAATTGACATGAGACAGAATAACAGGAGAAAATCAAATAAAGTTTAATAACATGTATAAATGGGAGAAACCCAGGAAAGCTGAGTAACTCACCAAAATGTTGGAAACCACTAACTTGAATACCATTTTCAGCTAAGGACGAAGGAGGATGCCGGGGGTAGTGGTTTGGAACTTCAAAGGGGAGAAAGGCAATTCACATGGAAATGGAAAAGCAAGTGCCTGGTAAAATCTATACACAATGGGACCTGAGAGAGAAAACTTTGATAAAAATGGGCTTAGCAAGGTTCCTCCCAGTCTACCATAGCCAGAGTTATCTATGGTGGTAGCTCCTTCCTGGGACAGGCCTTCTATCTTAAACTCTTTTAGGCAGTTAGGGAGAAGGTCAAAGTTTCTTTCTGAAGTTTTTTGTTCTTAAAAATAATCAAGACAAAGAGACACATTTTGGGGTGGTAAATTCTGATCCCCCACACCGGGATTCAAATCTAAACAGTGCAAGCTTTTACCTACTGACCAAAGAAAGTAACTGGAAGCAAGTGTATAACTTGAGGGATAAACTTAAAGCAACATATCATTACAACCACTGGAACATGTTCATAGCAGGCAAAGCCAACTAGCTTGGTTGAGCAAAAGTTGGGGGTCCTTTAATTTCTACACGAGGAAACATGTTGCCCTTTTAAGTGGAGTGAGAGGGAGCTGGAGATAGCAACAGGACTGCAGGTAATATACAGAACAGGAACCAATTTTAAAACATGGTCCATGTAAATAAATGTCCTTTCAGTCTGTAATAGCTCAAATGAACTCAGTTAAAAATATAAATACATTACAAGAGACGACAATCTCTTTTAAGAAAAATAATTGTGTGTATCAATATCAGAAGAATATCACTTGGGATATTCTTGTGATGAACCCTGATCTAGTCACATTAAGATTAGACAATGAAGCCAAAGGCTTTGAACTTTGAACTTAACCATGACATATTCAGGAGTGTGATGCATTATTCTTGGGGTAACCAGGAAATGGAGTACATATCAGTAAATTCGTGTGTGAATTTATACTATTGATTGACAAAGAAATATGTTAGGCATTGCTTGCCCATTTTCCAAGCAATGTTAAAAACATTAATAAGGGGCCAGCCTGGTGGTGTAGTGGTTAAGTTTGCACTGTCCGCTTTGGTGGCCTGGGGTTTGCAGGTTCAGGTCTCTGGCACGGACCTATACATCACTCATCAAGCCACGCTGTGGCGGCGTCCCACACACAAAATTGAGGAAGATGGGCATAGATGTTAGCTCAGAGCCAATCTTCCTCAGTAACAAGAGCAAAGCTGGCAACAGATGTTAGCTCAAAGCCAATCTTCCTAACAAAAAAGAAAAGAAAAGGAAAAAAAAATTAATAAAATGATTTTGAAGTTCCCAGCTGCATTTGGAAACACCATTATTGAACATCCGTCTCCCTGAGCAGCATCCTGGTAGCGACTATTGAAGGAAAGACTTCTGAAGGGAGCTCTGCCTGAATTAACCAGCTGAGCAGTCTTGGGACCTCGCCATGGCTGAGGAAGCAGATGTTGGAACCTTTGCTTATTAGAAACAGACTATGAAAACAAATGATCATATTTTGATTTCAATTTAATTCAGCAAGTTTGTTGGGTATTTACTATGTTTGCTACATAGTCCTAGTTTAAAAACAATTCTGCATTTGGGAGCCTCTTGGTCTTATTTATGTAGTAAAACCATTTATGCTTGCATAATATAAATTATTTCATACAGTTGCCTGAAATAATAAGATGATGTTTTTATCAACTAAGTTGACAAAGATATTTAGTGCTGGCGAGGGGAGGAAAGTTGGTATAATCTTTCTGGAAAGCTGTTTATCAGTCAGGATCCAGAGACTTTAAATGCTTTTTAATCTAATAATTCCACTTATAGTTTTTTTTTTTTTTTTTGAGGAAGATCAGCCCTGGGTTAACATCTGATGCCAATCCTCCTCTTTTTGCCAAGCAAGACTGGCCCTGGGCTAACATCTGTGCCCATCTTCCTCTACTTTATATGGAATGCTGCCACGGCATGGCTTGACAAGCAGTGTGTCCGCGTGCACCCAGGATCCAAACCTGCGAACCCTGGACCGCTGCAGCAGAGCGCGCGCACTTAACTGCTATGCCACAGGGCCGGCCCATCCACTTGTAGTTTTATACAAGAAATAATTAGAGATATATTGAGAGATCTGGAGAGAAGTGTATTTATTGCAGTCTTTTTTCTTTTAGTTTCTATCCTCTTGTATCTGACCATGCGTGTTGGAGTTCCTCACTCCTCTCATTCTCTACTCTTTCCCAAGGCCTCTTTATCTGCCCATCATTTTATTTACCTCCTCTTTGTAAAAACTTGCGCATTTCCTTCGCCTCTCATAGCACAGCCAACTGACTAGTTGACACTTCTACTCGGATGTCTCAAAGACGTTCCAAATTCAGTAGACTAAAATTCAAGTCATATCTTTCT